ATGGTGGGGGAGGGGGGGGGGGGAGTTCTACACACTCACCTACAGAGAAACTGTTGTGATGCACTTCATCTGCACGTACTACTGCGGCCAATGGTACGTGGGCTTCGCAACGAAGTTTTAGAGAGATTGAAGAGTGGCGACCATGACAGTGTGCGATCTAGGAGTACAACTCAATGGCTTGCTTACTTTACTTTGTCCTTCTTCTTGTACCATCGAGGGCATCAAAAGTAGAAAGAGCTTTCTGTCTCTAGCAAGCTGGATGGCCTGGCTGGGTTGGAGGTGATTGTGTGTTTTTAGGGTATCCTTCACACCCACGATCCAGGTCTTCCTTGGTCTTCCTTTTGCCTTGTACCCTGATATTCTTTTGTAGTACGCTTTACTGGCAAGCTGTTGAGGTGTCATACGCGTCAGAAGTCCAAACCACCTGACTGTTTGGCTCGGAATGTTGTGGAGGACAGGTGTTGTTTCTATCATTTCTCTGACCCTGCTGTTTCCAATCATGTCCCATCTGGTTTTGTTGACGCCTCTCATGAGATATCTCATCTTACATGTGGTTATCTTGCGTTCCAGACGTATGGTCAAGTTCCATGTTTGGCATTGATAGGTCAAGGCGGAGATGACGATAAAGTCAAAGAGCTTGGCTTTGGTCCCAATGGGGATGTTAGGATGCTTGAAGAGTGGGGCAAGCTGGTAGCAATTCTATGGCACTATGCCTAATTAAGACCCCGGATGAGCGTACTTGGTCAAATAAGTACCGAATGGAGGGCTAAAATTGACTTTCACCACTCATTACTCGCCTCAACGCTGTCAAACTCTAGCATCGAAAGTTGAATGAACTGGCTAACTTTCCCCGTCTTGTTTTCTATATCCGCTAAAAGGGTTGTTTCGTTTCCATTTCGTATATGCAGAAAGAAGTGCCTAAGAAATTATCCATTTCTGAGTAGTAAAGTATTCTGTTTGGAGAAAAGCCATTTCACAAAAAAGTAGAGGGACGAATTTTGATTACCTAACTCAAAATTTACCTTTCTACTCCAGCTAGCAGCCTTTGGTGCAGTGGCTAGGCACATTTTACACCCATGTGCCAGTTCAGTGATCTCCTGTTCCTGCTTAGAATAATTAATTATGTAGCCTATGTCTCCTAAAGTTTTTTCCTGTCCCTGTCCTATGTAGTATATCGTCCTGCTTACCTCAGGAGGGCCCTGAGTCAAAGCAGCCTCTC